TCCCCAGCCCGGACCCGCCCAAACAACAATGACAGCTGCAACCAAAAAATAGCCGGGCGTTGTGGCAGGCGCCTGTGGTCCCAGCTACTTGGGAGACTGAGGCAGGAGACTCGCTTGAGCCCGGGAGTTGGAGGTTGCTGTGAGCTATAATGCCACGGCACTCTACCAAGGGTGACAGTGAGACTCTATCTCAAAAAATAAAACAAATAAAAACCCCAAACCTATAGTAACAATTTAAGCCTGAGCAACATGGCAAGATCCTATCTCTACAAAAAATAGAAAAATTAGCAGGTGTAGTTGCGGGCACTAGGAGGCTGAAGCAGGATTGCTTCAGCCCAGGAATTTGAAGTTGCAGTGAGCTATGATGATGCTACTACACTCTAGCCTGGGCAACATAACAAGACTCTTATCTCAAAAAAAAAAAAAAAAATTAAAAAGTAAGAATTGATTAGTTCTTCTTTGTTGGGCTCCACCTAGGAGCTGCTGGAAGGCTGGGAAGCTGTCCAAGTCTGGGGATGGGGAATGTTTCAGGACTCAGCTGCTTCCACCACCTCCATTTTAGCTCAGGAGGATGCTGAGGTCCAGAAGTGAAGCCAAGAGGCTGAACCATTTAAGGGCAGAGCTGAGCACTGTTCACCCACCTGCCCCATGTCCACTTTTCAGAGCAATAGTGGGCTCTGGATTCTACCAGTGGGTACATTGGTCTCAACCCTGGTTAGAAGCCCCAGATCTAACACAGGGAAAATTGCTGAAAGCAGGATGGATTGCAAACCCTCATCCATTTCCAGAAGCATGCCTTTGGTGTATGGGAACAGGGTCAGGGACAAACAAACCACAAGTGCGCAAATCTGAAGAGTGCCAGGTGGCATATACATTTCAGAAGATGCCCGAACACAGCCCCGAAGTCTCCTCCTGCGGGGAGGCCAGCTTTTAGCTTCCTGCTCCTTCTGGGGTTCAAACCGCAGGCCAAAGGTCCTGGCTTCAGGGCAGGCTGATAACAGGGACAGCCAAGCTCAGACAGCACAAGGCCCCACGACCTGAACTGGGGCACCCCTTTATCCTTAGTCTCACTCCCCACTGTGCCGGGTTCTGCCTGTCAGTCGGCGGCGCTGGGTCTTGCTGGTCCGAGTGGCACTCGGAGGCTTCTTGGTGGAGTCCTGGGCCCGCCGGAGATGCTTCCTCTTGAGCTTCTTCTTGCGGCTGTGTGCGTGCAGTGACGCTGTGAGGGAGGAAATCCTGTGGGGGGGGGGGAGGTTTAGTTTACCCTAGAGAATAGGGTGGAGAGTAGAAGGGTGGGTTGGGGAATAACTGACCACCCAGCTCACAGAGGGGAAGTCAGGACAGACCCCAAATGCTAGGAGCACCAAATGTGTCCCCAAGTTTGCCTGTTCTGCCTCCAGGGCTTGCCAGTATGCATCTCAGAGATCCCTAATCCTGGCACTAAGGGTGCCTGGGGCTGGGCATTCTCAGGGGTGGGGGACAGGAGCAAAGAGAAGAAGCTGAAGACCACCCAAAAGGCAAAGCAGAAGGCTGCTCTGAGCCCCACACCTCTGACACCACCCCGCCATGAGGAGCAGGACCATAGGAGATGACAGGCCTGAGCTCACCGCTGAGAGAGCAGGGGGTCTCTGGACTTCCTGGGTAAGGCTTTGGTTGGCTTCTCCATGGATGACACTTCCTCCTCGGACCTGTCCTTTTGCTAAAGCAGCACAAGACAAGGAATGTTACCAGGAGAAGCAGATAAGGAGGCCCAGGCTGGGCACCCTGAGCAACCAAGGCTCTGTCAACTTGCCATATCAAAGGCCTGAGACAGGGTTCAGAGGTGGCTTTGGGTAGAAGAACACCATGTTCGCCTTAAGGCAAGGATTACATGGGGAGAGCTATGTTTCAAAACCCTCTCATGGGCTGTGCATGGGTGGCTCACACTTGTATCCCAGCACTTTGGGAAACTGAGGCAGGAGGACTGCTTGAGGCCAGGAGTTTGAGTAACACAGCAAGACCCCCATCTCTACAAGAATAGTAGCCAGGCAAGATGACACATACCTGTAGTTTGGTAGTCCCAGCTACTCAGGAGTCTAAGGCAAGAGTATCATCACTTGAGCCCAAAAGTTCAAGGCTGCCCTGAGCTATGATCTACATTCCAACCTGAGTGACTAAGATTGTATCTCAAAAAACCCTCTCGGGTCTTCTACTAGTAGCTTATAGTAGACACTCAAACCTTCATGAATGAAGTGTCAGCAAGATGGGACAAGACCTGCCTTTGCATAAGACCTCACAGAAGAATTAGCATAAAATGGAAAAAGAGTGAGATAAGTAAGGATGTTATAAGGCAGTGGTTTTGGAACTTAGGGACACTGTAAGCCATGAAAGGAAATGTGTTTTACACTCTGTGTGTGTGTGTATAAATTCTTCCATAAACTGACAGAGCTTTAACCAAAACAGAAGTTTCATAAAACAATACTTACTATG